CAAATGTTTCAATGCAGTGTTTCATGTCCCAGAGGCTGGTCCAGAATAGAAAGCGGAAAAAAAGAACTCAGGATGACATGTTCGCCAAGCTCATATAGTCCTCCCATACTGATAGGACCCAGCTGAATGCGTGGAGGCAAACAATTGCGGAGTACCGTAAAGCATTACATGAATACGAAGAGAGGAGGGATGTGCGCTATGAGAGCAGGCAGGATGCTATGGTCAAGCTCATGGGGGAGCAAACTGACATGCTCTGCTGTATGGTGGATCTAATGCGGGAAAGGCAGCAAGACCACTGACTGCTGCTGCAGCCCCTGTATAACCGCCCTCCCTCCTCCCCAAGTTCCATAGCCTCCTCACCCAGACGCCCAAGAACACAGGGGCTACGGGGACCCACACACTCAAACCCAGAGGATTGCACAAGCAGCAGAAAGCTGGCATATCCGAAATTTTGATTTGGTTTCTAGACTTGTCCTTCCCTCCTCCTCCACCCCCCTAACCCAATACCCGGCCCCCTTCCCCCGGTCTACCTTCTAATTTCTCTCAATGTTTTGTGCAACAAATAATAAAGAACAGTTTTAAAACAATTGTGACTTTATTTCCTTTCATTTATACAAAGGGCAGGTAACCTCAAGAGAAACAAACACAACTGTCACACCGTACTCTGGCCAGTCATGAAACTGGCTTTCAAAGCTTCTCTGATGCGCAGCGGACCCTGCTGTGCTCTTCTAATTGCCCTGTTGTCTGGCTGTGCGAAACTGGCCGCCAGGCAAGTTGCCTCAACTCCCACCCCACCATAAACGTCTCCCCCTTACTCTCACAGATATTGTGGAGCACACAACAAGCAGCAATTACAATTGGAATATTGGTTGTGCTGAGATCTAACCGAGTCAGTAAACTGCGCCAGCGCGCTTTCTAACGTCCAAAAGCACATTCTACCACCATTCTGCACTTGCTCAGCCTATAGTTGAACTCCTCCTTACTACTGTCCAGAGTGCCTGTGTATGGCTTCATAAGCCATGGCATTAAGGGGTAGGCTGGGTCCCCGAGGATAACTATAGGCATTTCAACATCCCCAACAGTAATTTTCTGGTCTGGGAAGTAAGTCCCTTCCTGCAGCTGTTCAAACAGACCAGACTTCCTGAAGATGCGAACGTCATGCACCTTTCCCAGCCATCCCACACTGATGTCGGTGAAACGTCCCTTGTGATCCACCAGTGCTTGCAGCACCATGGAAAAGTACCCCTTGCGGTTTATGTACTGGCCGCCCCGGTGTTCTGGGGCCAAGATACGGATTTGCATTCCATCTATCGCCCTGCCGCAGTTAGGGAACCCCAGCGCATTAAAGCCATCCACAATGGTCTGCACATTTCCCAAAGTCACTACCCTTGATAGCAGCTGGTCAATGACTGCGTTGGCTACTTGCAGCATAGCAGCCCCCACAGTAGATTTGCCCACTCCAAACTGATTCCCGACTGACTGGTAGCTGTTGGGCGTTGCAAGCTTCCACAGGGGTATGGCCACTCGCTTCTCAACTGTGAGGGCTGCTCTCATTTTGGTGTCTTTGCGTTTCAGGGCAGGGGACAGCAAGTCACAAAGTTCCATGAAAGTAGCCCTATGCATACGAAAGTTTTGCAGCCACTGGGAATCATCCCATACCTGCAACACTATGCGGTCCCACCAGTCTGTGCTTGTTTCCCAGACCCAGAATCGGTGTTCCACAGCATGAACCTGGCCCAATGCCACCATGATCTCCCAATCGCTACATGCCATGCTTCTAGGAATGTCTGTGTCCATGTCCTCATCAGTATAGTGATCGTGCTGTTGTCGCTTCCTCGCCTAGTTTTGCAGGTACTGCACATACTGCTGGATAATGCTTGAGGTATTTACAATGGTCAAAACTGCAGTGGAGATCTGAGCGGGCTCCATGCTTGCCACGCTATGGCGCCTGCATGGATAATCCTGGAAAAGGGGTGTGAAACATAGGGGAGAGCAGAGTGGCAGTGGAAGAGGTGCTGTTCGGTTCACGGTAGCTGAAAAAAGGCGGGAAATGCTTGTCTTCTGTAGCTTTCACAGAGGCGGGACCCCAGGACAGACAACATGGAGAAGCTCGATAGCGCAGCAAGAGTAGGAGAGCAGAGTTGACGGCGGAAGCTGTGCTGCTCGGTTCACGATGGCCGAGCAGAGTTGACGGCGGAAGCGGTCGATGAGGAAGAGAAAGAGTAGATACTTATAGAGATTATATAGAAAGACGAGAGGAAATGCAAGGTGGATTCATAGTATTAGGAGAGAAGCGGTGCACCATCTGCTGAAAGCACTATGGCGTCTGCACGCCAAAAAGGCGCGAAACGATTGTCTGCCGTAGCTTTCACGGCGGGAGGAGCAACTGATGACACACGCCCAGAAACACCCGTGAGAATGTTTTTGCCCCACCATGCACTGGGAGCTTAACCCAGAATTCCAATGGACGGCGGGGACTGCGGGAACTGTGGGATAGCTACCCACAGTGCACCGCTCCGACATTTGATGCTAGCCTCGGAACTGTGGACGCACTCCGTTGAATTCACGTGCTTTAGTGGGGACACAGAAGACCGAATGTATAAAATCGCTTCCGAAAATTCGAATAGAATAATTTCAAAATAATTTCATACTGTAGACATACTCCTACATACTTGTTTTTATTCTTTTTCCTGACTCCCAGGCAATCTCAGTTTCACCTTCGACTCCTCTCTCCTGCCCCCATAGTTGGTTTTCTGCTAAATCTGGTCAGTTCTTTTTAGGATTTCCCTAATCTACACGTCCCTTACTTTCCCCACTGCTCTTCTACCTTTTCCACATTTTGGTCACCTCTTATCTTGATTACTGCCTGTCCCTCACCCTCCCACCACTACTGCCTAAGTCACCTTTCCTCTCTTTGCACTCTGACTATATCACCACCCTCCACTCCATGAAACCCTCCATTGGTTTCCCATCTCCAACCACATCAGATTCCAGCTCCTTGTACTCAGCTACTAGGCCCTATGTTATCTTCCCCACACTGTCACCTCTGCTGTCATTCCTCCACTTCCCTTCTCACTCCCTGCTCTCTTCCAATCCTCTTGCCTTATTGCCTTCTTCCTCTCCATTTCCCACTCCCTCCTTCCTTATCATGCTGCCCTTTGCCAGGAACAGCCTCACTGCTTTCATCTGCCATGCACCTTTAATTTCACCTTCCATCTTCAAGAAACCACCTTCATCTCATCAGTTATCCTGAGATTCTCCCTATTTTGAACTGTTGCTCTGTCTCTTGCCTGTGTTTGTTTTAGCCAGTTCTTTGGGGCAGAGAAGTATTTGTTTCTATGAGCCAGATTCAACCTGGCTCCAGCATGGGGGAGTAAGCAAGAGGGACACAAAGATCCTCTTCCCACCCTGAGTAAATGTACAGTGATACAGAAATGTTTTATCTAATCATAATCATTTAGATGTCATTGTCCATTTCCCCCATCCCTTCCAGACACACCCGCCTTTCCAGGCCATCATCCCTCAACCTCTGTGCCTCTCAACCATCCCTACCAGCCCATCCCTTCTCTGTCCCCAGGACCCACCACCAATAAAAGATTTGTACTAACTGCTGTGACCGGACAGGGCTGCATTTCGCACAGCTGTAGCTGTGTGTTATTAAACACCCTGGATTCAAAATGGTATCAATTTACTCTGAAAAATTCCAGATTCCATGCCCCAGAGTTTATCACTGTATATTGAAGCTCCAGCTGTGGGGCCTGACTTATTAAGACTTACGCTGGCGATGCAGACTTCATGCCAAGGTAACCGGTGCCTTAGAAATTTGGCAACACAGATGGTAACAAAATAAATTAGCGTCTCTTCCTCCCAGACTGCTGGGGAATTTAGAGATGGTCTCAAACCAAACCCCCTGGCTCTGAGCATTTCCAGACTTCGGGAGTGTTTGGATGCAGACGCGAACTTTACACATGGTCCCATGGGCTGACCCGAGCCGCTGGACCCGGACCCCTAACCGTCGCGTCCAGGCCTAGGAGGGCGCTGCGCTGTGGGGACGAGACCACAGAGGAGTCTTGCGAGGCGGGTGGCCGCAGAGCGAGTAACGCCAAGCCGGGACGGCGATTGCAGCGGCTCCGGGGAAGCGGCGCGCGGGCCCCCGCTCTCAGGGCCACGTGGCGCCGAGCCGAGCTGTCAGATCAGAAGCTGGCGGGACCCACGTGGGGCAGGACTGGGGGCCCGCACCCTGACAGCCAGTGGAGCAGGTGGCCCCGCGCTCCCGCGAGCTCGGCCTCACCCCCACGCCCCGCCCCGCGGCTCCTCCCGGCCCAGCCCGGCTCTCAGCCACCTCGGCTTAGCTCGGTCTCTATGGCAACCGCCGCTCAGGAGCTGGGCGGGGGGGCGGGCGCTCAGCGGAGGCGGATCCCGCCGGCCGCGGCGACCCGGCAGCGCCTGCCGCCTGTCCCGCTGCCCCGCCTGTCACTTCGGAGCCTGCCGCCGGGCGCCGCGCCGCGCCCCTGGCCCCCGGGCTTCCCGCCGCGCGGCTCCGGGCGCCCCCGCTCCTCGCCCGAGTCCCGCCGCGGCCCGGCCCGGGTAAGGAGCGCGGCGGGGCGCGTGCCGGCGGGGCAGAGTCCCGGGACCGGGACGGTGTGTCCAGCCTGCCGACGCGCGCGGCGGGGGTGCCCACCGGCCTGCCCTGCCCTGCCCAGCGCCCGGCTCTCGCTGGCGTGCCCGGGGCTAGCCCGCCTTGCCGGAGGTCGCGGCTGGGGGCAGCCAGGGCACTGTCCCCCCCGGGCCGTGTCCTCCGGGGAGCGCCCGGCGGAGCGGCCCTGCCCGGCTCCCGGCCATCGCTCCCCAACTTCTCGGCGGGTGCCAGCCCGGGCACATGCCTCGGGCGGGGCTGGGTCCCCTCCGCGGTGGCCGCCCGGGGACTGCAGCGGCAGGCAGCGCAGTGGCGGCGGTGGGACCCAGGGGGCGGCGGCTTGGGTTGGGCAGGTGCCAGGGGCGGGGAAGCTGGAGCGCTTCTAAAAGGCGGCCCGTCCCCGGCAGGCAGCACAACCCAGTGGAGCGGTGGGAGCTGGCCCCAGAGGCCGGGCTGGTCTCCAGGTGTCCGGACTGGGTGCTGCCGCGTGTTCCGCGCACGGGAGCTCGGTTCGGGCGCTGGACGGAGCCTGCGGGGCTTTTCCTTTGCCCGGAGCGCGGGGACCCGGTCTGCTCTGGTTGGAGGTATGTTCCTCTCTTGCTCCCCCTCAGCCGCCTTTAGGAGTTTCGAAATTGGCGGTCAGTATTTACCACTGACTTGGCATAGAAAGTGCCCGGAGTAGGTTCGTTTGTATTTGACTTTCCACCTTCCAAGGAATAAACGAGCACAAACAAGTGACTCGAGACTACTGCAGTCTTGAAATCAAGCAAAGTTACATTTAACTGAGGCAATTCTACCAGGAAAATGAGTTAGAATTCACTGGGCAGCCTCTGTCACAGACCATCCATTGACTGTTGTGACAGTCATTATAAGGGGTCATGCATCCACTTGAAATCAAATCTTGGTATACCACTGTGCTTGTTTTGGTCGTTTCCCCGGATGCTGTGCTTATTTAAAACACAATTTAAAAACTAGGAGGCTGATTCCCTTCCCAGTAACTCCAGTTTTAGGCATGCATAACTCAACCAGACTCTGTGGCAATGACTACACCTGTAAAACTGGAGTGACACGTGAAGAATTAGGTCCTAAAATATTTGTTGTGCTGTCACTTAGTGAGATGAGGGTAATAAAATATCATATGCTTTTATGCTTTTTTTTAAACTAACCCTCGGCTGTTTTTAAAATGAAAGTATATGTCTGTCTATCTAGGACTTATATGTGCTTCATCATAGTATCTTATATCATCCTCTAATTGAAAATTAAAAAAACAGAGTTCTCTGTCCATAAAAACTGTAGGTCTGATCCAAAGCCCTTAAAAGTAATGTGAATAATTCCACTGATTTTAATAAGGATTGGATCAGGCCCTGTGATCTTCTGGTATTTTCAGAAGAACATTGGTTACCAGCTCAGATGTTATAATTGAACTTAATTTAAATAGTGGTCACTAAGATGGTGGTTTAAGCATGAGGTAACAGGGTACATATAAAGAAAAGGAACACAAGAGAAAAGCAATGTTAGCTTCTAAGTATTGTTCAGATCAAGATATGTGTGCAGAATTGTAAGCAGCTGGTATTTTTTACACACTCCCAGAACAAATTCTGCTCTCATTTACATCTGGGTCAATCCAGAATAATTCCCCTGAAATCAGTTGTGTTATTCTGTGTTTATTCCAGTGTAATGGAGGCACACATTCTGCTCTCAGTGCTAAATATCTCAATTTAGTTTCAGCAAAGGTTGGTAATGACCAAGAGCAGTTACCTCCTGGAAGGCTGCTTGGAGTCTCAGTGGACAGGTACGGCTGTCATAATGGGCATCATTGATAGGCTCCTCTGCAGAGAAGCTCTGGACTAAATGGGTTTTGCAGAGTAAGGGAAGCTTGCCTGCTTTTGTCTTTTCTGTACTTGTTCTATGGAGAGAGGAGTTCAGTTTTCAGTGCTGGAAAACTGGCATTGTTGTCATGAGCACTAATTTCATATCAATACGTATTTTTAAGCAGCTACTGTGCTACACCAAACTTTGAGACTGAGCCCAATATCCTGCAATATTTACACAGGCAAAATTCCCATGTAGTAATCTAGGAGTTTTGCCTGTGTGGGAGTGAGTGAGATCTTCAGGATTTAGCCCACAGTAAATATTTTCAGTAGGAATTTTATTAGTTTCATGATGGTGGCTCTGTTGTACACAGATACACATGCTCCTGTGAATATATATTCCCACCATATGCCACTATGGTATCTGTTGTGAATAAAATATCCCTTCAAAACTTTCCAGATGATGGATTGGTTATAGAGTTCATGCCATCCCATCTGCATATTCATAGCACATAGTCTGGTCTATACTGGGAATATAGAAATAATATAGGAAACTCTAAAGACTAACAGATTTATTTGGGCATAAGCTTTTGTGGGCTAGAACCCACTTCATTGGATGCATGGAGTGAAAATTACAGATGCAGGCATTATTATACTGACACATGAAGAGAAGGGAGTTACCTCACAAGTTGAACCAGTGTTGACAGGGCCAATTCAATCCCGGTGGATCTAGTCCACTCCCAATAATAGATGAGGAGGTGTCAATTCCAGGAGAGGCAAAGCTGCTCTTGTAATGAGCCAGCCATTCTCGGTCCCTATTCAGGCCCAAATTAATGGTGTTAAATTTGCAAATGAATTTTAGTTCTGCTGTTTCTCTTTGAAGTCTGTTTCTGAAGTTTTTTTGTTCAAGTATAGCTACTTTTAAATCTGTTATAGTGTCCAGGAAGATTGAAGTGTTCTCCTATTGGCTTTTGTATGTTACCATTCCTGATGTCTGATTTGTGCCCATTTATTCTTTTACATAGGGACTGTCCAGTTTGGTCAATGTATATGGCAGAGGGGCATTGCTGGCACATGATGGCATATGTAACATTAGTAGACGTGCAGATGAATGAGCCTCTGATGGTGTGGCTGATGTGGTTGGGTCCTCTCACCTGCACGTCTACTAATGTTAGCATCTGTAATTTTCACTCCATGCATCTAATGAAGTGGGTTCTAGCCCACGAAAGCTTATGCCCAAATAAATCTGTTAGTCTTTAAGGTGCCACCGGACTCCTTGTTGTTTTTGTGGATACAGACTAACACCGCTACCCCTGATAGGAAACTCTGTTAACCTTAACAGATCCATTGATATAAGAATTTGTAATTCGAGGCCACAGCTCATGAGCAATAACTCTGTTCATTTAATATGAAGATAATGTGTTATGTTTAAATAAGCCTGTGGTATAAACCACAATGCAAGGGATTCCTGAGCTGAAGTTACATCCTTGACTCACCCTTTTGTGGCTAAGGAATACTGTTACAATAACTAAGGATTAACAATGGGTGAGTCAGGGATATATATTTAGTTTTAATTCTGAAATCCTTTTGTATTGTGGATTTACACCAGATCCTTAACATTATTTGAACATATCTTTAAAATTAGATAAGCTACAAAATGACAGGAAAGAGATGTTGCTCATGGTATGTGTTCCAGCGGGATTCCTTTCTACCTCTTTTCAGAGTAGCAGCCGTGTTAGTCTGTATTCGCAAAAAGAAAAGGAGTACTTGTGGCACCTTAGAGACTAACAAATTTATTTGAGCATGAGCTTTCGTGAGCTACAGCTCACTTCATCAGATGCATTCAGTGGAAAATACAGTGAGGAGATTTATATACATAGAGAACATGAAACAATCAATCACTTAAGGTGAGCTATTACCAGCAGGAGAGGGGGGAAGGGGGAACCTTTTGTAGTGATAATCAGCAGTTGACAAGAACGTCTGAGGAATGGTGTGTGTGTGTGGGGTAAACATGGAGAAATAGTTTTACTTTGTGTAATGACCCATCCACTCCCAGTCTCTATTCAAGCCTAAGTTAATTGTATCCAGTTTGCAAATTAATTCCAATTCAGCAGTTTCTCTTTGGAGTCTGTTTTTGAAGTTTTTTTTATTGAAGAATTGCTACTTTTAGGTCTGTAATCGAGTGACCAGAGAGATTGAAGTATTCTTCAACTGGTTTTTGAATGTTATAGTTCTTGACATCTGATTTGTGTCCATTTATTCTTTTACGTAGAGACTGTCCAGTTTGACCAATGTACATGGCAGAGGGGCATTGCTGGCATATGATGGCATATATCACATTGATAGATGTGCAGGTGAACGAGCCTCTGATATTGTGGCTGATGTGATTAGGCTCTATGATGGTATCCCCTGAGTAGATATGTGGACACAGTTGGCAACGGGCTTTGTTTACCTCTTATTTACGGCATAACTGGGTGCAATTTGATAGTCTGTATTATGCAGGAAGACAGACTACATGATCTTTTCTGGACCTAAGATATATGAATCTAGTGATTACCTGCTCCATCCCAGACATGCAGCCACTTCTTGGGTAAAATATGGCAGCCCTGAAGCAGCAAACATCAACATTATACAATTGGCCCAGGAGGCTGAATTAAGGAAAGGGTGTTTGTCTTAATTCTGAACTTCCTGACTTATTAGGTTTAAACCACTCCACTGATATCATTTGTATTTATTTATTTATTTGTTTATTGTGGTTTGCATTAGAAAATGTTTAGTGCTTGAAGTCTGTGTGGGAAAGTGGCATGAAAATAGTTCTGGGTCTTGGCAGATGAACCTGATTTGCTCTGATAGGTAGGCAGACTGAAATGCTATTATGCATTTGAAGCAAATTGTGAAAAACAAAACAAAAACCCTTTTGCTTCTGCAGATAACATAAAGGTTAGCTTTTGTGGAGATTCCTAGCCATAGTTAGGGATCTACTCTGTTGGCTTTTTTTATTTGACATATAAAAGTCAGCTGCTGTAAATCAACATAACTCTTGGCTTCATTTGAATTATGTGGATTTACACAATGTAGTTCCATTAAAGTCAATGGAACTATGGCTCTTACATCAGCTGTAGATCTGGAGTAGATATATTTTTTTCTGCTTAGTAGCACATGGTCCTTTTTATATTTTCCCATAATCAGCCAAAACACATGCTTTCTCTATAACTTCTGATCATGACCGTTGCAGTGTTCATGTCACAGTCCATGTCATGTTCCTTTACTCTCTTGTAATTAAAGTGTATGTTGAAAACACATTGAAAAAAGTTTTTCTTTTATAACAACAAATCTCTAGGAATCAAAATATTTCAGAAATTATACAATCATAGGGAAGGTCATGTGCTTTTAATTTTATAAAAAGGTTTCTTACATAATCTTGTGGGTGCCATTAAATGTAGAAAATGCAACACAGTTGTAGTATGCGTCTTGGAAGAAATTATGATGTCTTTATATCCTCTGGTTTGTGTTTAGTCTTTTATCTCACAGCACCTTGTGTAAGATTTTCTTGTTCTCCCTTAAATTACCCTTTAAGCGGTACAATATACAGTGGGCCAGGTCCTCTGCTCAGTGTATGTACATCTACTCCATAATATAAAATACAAAAATGATATGCTGTACTTGGAGCTAAAAATGTACTCATCACATGCCGCTGAAAGTTACTGTCAGTCATGTCACATCTCTATCAAAAGCAACCTAATATAATGGCAGGGCCCAATCCTGACGTTGAC